TGAGAGACAGAGAGAGAGAGAGAGAGAAGCAGAGGGAGAAGCAGGCTCCCAAGGAGCAGGGAGCCCGATGTGGGACTCGATCCCAGGACCCTGGGACTATGACCTGAGCCGAAGGCAGACGCTTAACCATCTGAGCCACCCAGGCGCCCTAAAAAATATGATTTTAACATTTAACTTCAGTGAAATCAGAAAATTTAAGGAGAAATAAAAAAGTAGGAAAAAAGAGATCTAAGAAAGTAAAAATCAAACTGAAATTTAAATTTTGGTCCAGTCTAAAGTGGGTATGCTGAAAAGGCTTATATCTTGGTCCAGTCTAAAATGGGTATGCTGAAAAGGCTTATATCAACTACATCGTTATTAAGAAAATATAAAAGACCTCGAAAATGCTTATTGAGTTTTTGGATTTTATAAGCCTTACATACAAATATGCCCCAGGAAAAAGGAACAAATGGATGACATCCAAAAGACAATACACATTTTCTCCACTACTGAAGATCACTAAGTAAAAGGATTAACATGCAAGCTTCAGATTGTTAACGTTTGGGCATCTGTTAGTTTTTGCTGTTATCTAAGTCCACAGGCTGTTCTCTAAACCCAAAAGCTTTTCCTCTCCTTCTAGAAGAAGAAAAAGAAAAAGACAAGAAGACAAATTATGATAGCTACAAAAGCTTTAGAGCTCATTTATTTACTTTATGTAAGTGTACAAGATATAAGTACATGCTTGAGTGTATAAGAATATCTGTGGGTCTAGAGAAGGCCAACAGAGGACAGGCAACAAAAGAATGTATTGTCTAAACAGACTAAAATGATGGACAGAAATTCAATTCCTTATCTATAAAAAGTGAGTGAAATGCTGCATGATTTAAATTTTCTAGAAACCATTCTATTAATTTGCATTCTAAAGATCTTAATAGTCTCAGGATTTGATGTAAAACTTTTTTGTCGGGCGCCTGGGTGGCTCAGTTCATTAAGCGACTGCCTTTGGCTCAGGTCATGATCCTGGAGTCCCGGGATCGAGTCCCACATTGGTTCCCTGCTCAGCAGGGAGTCTGCTTCTCCCTCTGCCCTCTTCCTTCTCGTGCTCTCTGTCTCTTATTCTCTCTCTCAAATAAATAAATAAATAAAATCTTTAAAAAAAAAAAAAAACTTTTTTGTCAACATCAATTTTTTTTCTTTTTCTCAAATCAATCTTTTTTCTCTTTAGCTTAGCCACATTTAACAACTGAGGTACTTTTTTTTTAAATGTTTTTGAAGTATAGCTGACATACAATGTTACATTATAGTTTTAGGTGTACAACATAGTGATTCAACAACTCTGCAGTTATGCTATGCTCACCACAAGTGTAGCTACCATCTGTCACCATACAATGCTATTACAACACCAATGATTATATTCTCTATATATACTCTGGTGAGTTACACATTCCATAGAGATGAGGTACTTTAGAAAAGACAATGGAAAAACTGGATTTTCAAATTCTATTTTAACATAATTTTGTGACAGAAACTTACAGGAATACTCTAAGATTGTTTTGAATAGCTTTTCTGTTTTTCTATATTTTTGAAATTCTTCAAAAGAATTAGGAAATAAAAATAAAGGCATGTAATAAGCTAATAACCCTAACCAATATATTTATAGATTTGAAACTTTAAAATTAGTATTAATTCTATAAAACTATCATGGACTTGATAAAGAATTTACCTGACATATATAATGACAACCTAGTGGCATATATAGTGCTGCTAAGCCAAGGGATATAATTTATTAACACTGTATTAGAAACAAATGATGAGTGGCACACAAAAACATATTCTCCAAATGAAATAATATCATCTCACCTTCAATGGCTATTCGCCTTTTAGGCCAGTTTTTGTTTTCTCTTGTTAAAATATCCTGTATCCGTACACATATGACATATTCTTCCAAAGCAAAATCCAGTGTGTAAAATTTTAGCAGCTCTAACCACAACTGTCCCAGGGATACCTGATTTGGTGTTCCCAATGTTAAAGGAGACTGGAAAAGAAAAAATACTTTTAAGTTCCACAAAACTACAGAATCATTGAATTTTCAGTTTAAAAAGACCTTAGAGATCACCTTTACAAAAACTGAGGCATAAAGAAGTAACTTGCCAAGAAGCAGTTTGTGACACAGCTGGAAACACAGTCCTAGTTTACTGACTCCTAGAATTTTTTGTTCTTCCCACTAAACCAGTGATTCTCAACCGTGGCTGCACATCAGATCACATTGGGAGCATTAGAACACACTAATACCTGAGGCTCAATACCATTCCTACTCTCATACCCTTCCCAAGATTCGATTTAACTGACCTGGGCAATGGACCGGGCAATGGGATTTTTAAAGCCCCCTAAGTGATTCTCATGTGCAGCCAAGGTTGCAACCCACTACACAACAATTACTACAGCTCCTTATTGTAGTAATTACTTTAAAAATCTAAGTAAATGCCCTGGGCTTTCAAAAGCTAATTCCTTCATTCAGCGAACATTTATTTAGAACCTACTATGTCCCTGGCACTATGCTGGGGATATAAAAAAAAAAATGAGCACTCACGCTTAAACATAATGGTCACTATGCATCATTCACTCTTTTTAAGTGTGCCACATATAGTAACTATTAATTCTAACAACTCTATGAAGTAGATACTACAGGGCAAGGATTTGACTCAGGACCACCTGGCTACTGAATTTATGTTGCTAATCACTGTACCTACCATACTGCCACTCAAATAAGGTAAGGTCCTACCTTCACATAGTATTAGGAGAGGAAGAGACAATTTAACAATTACAGTAAACACTATGTGCTAAAATGGGCCTCTAAATTAGGAGGGTTTTAACAGAAGAGGTAATACTGTATTCTAAAGGAATTAGCTAGATAAAGACTGGCTAAAAGTGACCACTAAGATAAAGACATGAAACAGTCATCCACTCATTCAATTCTACAACTATTTATTGAGTGCCTACTATGTGCCAGGCACTTAGGATATATCCGTGAAAAAAACCTCAAGATCTTGCCTTAGTGGATCTTACTTTCCAGGGGAAGAAAATAACAAAAAACAAGTAAATTACATAGCAAGTTAGAAAAAGCAAAGTACTGTGGAAATAAAAAATTTTTGAGTAGAAGAATGGGAGTATGGGAGTATGACATGGTTTCATTGTTAAATAGCGTGGTCAGGATAGGTCTTGTTAAAAAGGTATGATTTGAAGAAGAGGGAGAAGTATTCTAGGAATAGGAACAGATAGAGCAAACACAATAAACAGAAGTGTGACTAGCTTTAAAAAGAAAATCAAGAAAGCTAGTGTAGTAGAGACAGGGTAAGAAGAGAAGAGAAAAACAAAGGGCTAGTCAGTAAGAACTCCTCAGCTTTTATTCTAAATTAAATGAGGAGCAACTGAAGCATTCTGAGTGTGGAGAAGAGGAAGGACATGATATGACTTAAGTTTTTGAAGAACCATTTTGATTGTTGTACTGAGAACAGACTATAGTTGACTCTTGAACAACATAGGGGTTAGGGACACACCAACCCCTATGAGGTCAAAATCTGCATATAACTTTTGACTCCCTCAAAACTTAACCACTAATAACTTACGGTTGATCGGAGGCCTTACCAGTAACATAAACAGTCAATTAACACATATTTTGTTTGATACATGTATTCTATAGTGTATCCTTAAAGTAAGCTAGAGAAAAGAAAATGTTAAGAAAATTATAAGAGAAAAATATTTACAGTAATATGCTATATTGAAAAAAAAATTCATGTAAGTGGACCTGCACAGTCCATGTTATTCAAGGGTCAACTGTATAAAGAAAAATGGTAGATATAGGGAAACTCATTATGAGGCTATGGTAGTAATCCAAGCCAAAGATGATGGTGGCTAGGACCTGCATGTTAACGGTGCAGGTGGTGAGAAGTGGTCAACTTCTAAATATATTTTGAAATAGAAATGACAGGATTTCCTGACAGATTTGATACAGGGTATAAAAGAGAGAAGTAAAGGATGATTCCAAGGCTTCTGACTGAGCAACTGAAAGGATGAAGTGCCATCAACTTAGATGTGAACACTGCCATGTGGAGAAAGAGGAAGACCAGAAGTCCAGATTTAGCCATGTTAAGTTTAAGATCTCTATTAGACATCTAAGTAGAGACATTAAATAGGCAGTTGGATACAACTATAGAATTCAGGAGTGTGGTATGGCTGAAGATTTAAATTTGGGAGTATCATACAGATGGTATGTAAAACCCATACAACTGGATAAGATCACCAAGGGAGTGTAGATACAGAAGAAAGGGGAGGGGATCAGCGATTGAGCTCTGGAGCATGCCAACATTAAGAGACTAAAGAGGAAAGGAGAAACCAGGGAAGGAGATTGAGAAGAAATAATCAGCCATGGGTGTGCTATCCTGAAAGTCAAGATAAGAAATTTTTCAGAGAAGAAAATAATCCACTGGCAAATATTGCTGATACATCAAAAATATAAAAATTGAGAAGTGACAATTGGATTTAGCAATATGGAAGATAATGATATTGACGTACAAGCTTTGGTAGGTTGATGAGGGTCAAAGCCTGACTACACTGAGTTAAGAGGAAACAGGTATCAGAAATAGTGAATATGGACAATTCTTTCAAGAAGTTTTATTGCAAAAGGATGCAAAGGAATAGCTGGGAAGGGAAATGATGTCCATATTTTTATTTAAAATGGGAGAAATAAAAGCATGTTTGCTTACTGAATGAAAAATTGCTAACTTAGGAAGGATAAAGAAGAATTGCTGGAGCAGTGTTCTAGAATAAACAAGAAGGGATGGGAGTAAATACACAAGTGGAGAAAATTAGATAGCAACATGGGAAGTTCCTTTACAAAAGCAGGCATGAAGGCAGACTATGTGAGTGCAGACAGCAGCAGGTGGTGGTGGGAGTGTGTAGAAGTTCTCTTTTGACTTCTTCAGTTTTCTCAGTGAAGTAATAAGCAAAATCATTAGCTGAGTATTGGTGGTTTGAGAGGAGAGGAGAAAGAAGTCTAGGAAAGTGGGAGAGTTAAAGGGACTAAGAACAACTGTTCAGGGAACTACATATAATTCAATATAGCTAGAGCAATCCCTTCAGTAATGCTTTCATTTCTATAATAATATATCTGTCTATTTCAGAAGACTACATACTTCTGGAGTACACAATCCATGAATATTCATCTTTGGTCCCCTAGCCCTCAAAATAATGTCTGGCACATAGCAGGTCCTTGATAAAAGAATGTGGAATGATTAAATAAGCAAGCCACCCCCTAATGGAGGAAAGAGCCTTTATTTTTCCACCAATCTGGCAACATAATTTCCATATGTTAAAGTTTTGATCACAGCCCAACTCCTGAAGGAAATTTTCCTTGTCTAAATGAAAAAGATACAAAGAATTACCATGACATGATTCAAACAATATACATTTTCCAAAAGGAGGTATAAATTCATTAGGGAATCATAAGCACTGAAAAACTAAACCAGATCAACCCCTCACTTCACAGATGAGGAAAATGAGGCCAAGAGGCTTATGCAAAGTCAGTCAATCTACTATTAAAGAGCTTCAATCGAAGGCATCACAAATTCTACAGATAGAAAAGCCAAAAACAAAAACAAAAAAAAGCTTACTTTGCCATGTTTTTCCTTCATGGCATTACTTTGGTTGTCTGTTTCTGTCTTCTTGGTATCATCTTTTGGTTGGTCTGCCTTAGCTTTGTTTTCCTCAGCAATTGAGTTTTTCTCAGTTGCACTACTTGAATTATATTCCCACTTCACAAACTTCTCTTCTACTATGCCCTTCAGCTGAAAGTCATCCATTCTTTTTGGGTCAAAGCCTTCAATCTATATAAAAAGGCATTCCAAATTGGTAGTGGAAAAATTATTAAAAAAAAAAACAAAAACAAAAAGGTGGACAAACAAACAAACCAGAATTCCAGCTTAAAATGTTTGAACAGAGCACTCTGTAAGAGCAAACTACATATATACATGCACATATGTCACAAATTCGTGCTTACCCAACTTCCAAGTAAGCAAGGAAGAAGAGGGGGTTTTCTTTGTTGTAGAAAAAACATCACCATTAAAGCAAAACAGTAAGAAGGGATTCCACCATCAGTTTGGGAGTCAATATAGCATAACTGCAAAACAAAGGGGGAGAAATTACTGCCATCAGCTTTAATTTTCTTTGTTCCCCTCATAATATAGATTATTTTTCCTACTATGATCATTGTAAAACGTTTAAACAACGAAAATTATAAGGAATGACCTGAAATCTCACCACCCTGAAATAACTATTAACACATTGGTGACAATCTTTCCATTCATTTCTTTATTGCATATAAAGTCATATATATATTTTAGTTAAATGGAACATCATACATAGTGCTTTTACTCTGTACACATTTTTAAAATATTATTTTACCTTGCTTCTACTTCTGCCTCAATGTTAACAATCGTCTATAAACTTTCATGCCTTTTTCTACACTCTAATAACCATATACAAATGTATTCCTATATATTTCTATTTTCTATATAAATGCAGGAAGGATTTTGTTTTATGTCATTCTCTTACCAAAATTGTGTATTATACACATCTGTGTATTATTCTTCTCCCTTAACAACATACTAACAAAGTTCCTCTAAGTCAATTAGTACAGATCTAACGTATTTATTTATTTTCCTAACATATTTTTAAATGCTTAAATTATAGTCTATGATCTGGATGGCTACTAGTAATCGCCCTACCCAAGGACATTCACATTTTGTTCCCAATTTTTGCCACTTCAGGCAATGCTGTTTCATCCTTATATATATTTCCTAATTACTGGTGCTTATTTATATGAACTATTTTCCCAAGATGTGTTTGCTGGATTTAAAAATGTGTGATAGAGGGGTGCCTGAGTGGCACAATCAGTTAAGCATCCATCTCTTGGTTTCAGCTCAGGTCGAGGTCTAAGGGTCATGGGATCAAGTCCCATGTTGGTGTCTGTGCTTAGCGCTGAGTCTGCTTGGGTTTCTCTCTCCCTCTCTGCTTCTCCCCACCCCCACGCTCGCTTGCACTGTAATAAATAAATCTTAAAAAATAAGTAAATAAATAAAAAATATGTGATATATTTGAATTCTAATAAGATTTTCCAAAATCACTAAAAAATTCCTCTTTTCACCAGTAACATGAGTGTACACATAACACTTTCCAACATTAAGTATTACCACTTTAAAAAAATGTCAATGGAGGGTGCTGGGTGGCTCAGTTGGTTAAGCGACTGCCTTTGGCTCACGTCATGATCCCAGGGTCCTATGATTGGCCCGCATCGGGCTCCCTGCTCGCATCAGGTTCCCTGTGGGGAGCCTGCTTCTCCCTCTCCCTCTCCCTCTGCCGCTCCCCCTGCCTGTGCTCTCCTGCTCTGTCAAATAAATAAATTTTAAAAATCTTAAAAAAAAAAAAATGCCAATGGGATGTGTGAGATATAATTATCTAATAATTATTCAATTTGAATTTCCTCAGTGTTAAGAGATTACACAATTTTCATGTTCACTAACCATTCAGACTTGCTCTTTGCTGAACTGCCTATTGAATCTTTTGCCAATTTTTCTATTTGTATACACTGCATATCAATTTACATTACAGTTAATAATCCTTTAAATCTGATACATGCACTAGAACAATGGTATTTTTCCCAACCTGTTTTTATTTTGACCGTTATCATATAAAATATATTAATGTATATATAGTTAAATATGCTTTTGCTATATAGCTTCTAGGTTTCCTATCATGGTAAAAAAGTTTCCCCAAACCACAGTACAGATACATACTCTTAAAACTTTCTCCTAAAATGTTGATTTTTCATTTAAGTAGAATTTATTTTTGCATTTAGTGTCCTAAGGATCCAACATTATTTTCTTCAAGAAATATACAGTTGTTCACTGAACTCTACCTATGAAACTAATAATACACTACATGTTAATTAATTGAATTTAAAAAACACAAAATTAAATTTTAAAAAAATACAGTGAAAAAATAAAATAAAAAATAAAAAATATACAGTTGTGACAGAACCACTTATCAAGTCATTGTTTTATCACTGAAATGAAGTATTTTATTTTTTTCATATATTAAAATTTCATTTACACTAGGATCTACTTCTGGGCCTCCTATTCTGTTCCACAAATCTATTTGTCTATTCCTATGCCAAAGGCATATACTTGAGTAAGCAGTTTTATAGTGGTAAAGTAGGTCCCCTTCATTAGTGTTCTCCTTCTGAATTCTTTTGGCTATTCTCAAACATTCTTCCATACTAATTTTAATACCATTTTATCAAATTTTTAAAAACTCTTGGTAATTCTAATTGAAATTACTGTACATTTGAAAATTAAATTAAGATGATTTTACATTTTAGGGGTGCCATCTCCTTATCTAAGAACTTTGTATCTTTGCATTTTCCAAAAATTCAGTTCTCATCAATTACTCACTTCCCCTAAACTCTCATAACCAAAACCTTTACAAGTCTTACCTCCAAAACTTATCCCAAATCTGTCTACTATGCTTTATATCCATTCTAACCTAGCACAGACCATTATCACCTCTGGCTGATCTACTACAGCAGCCTGATTAATGGGCTCCCTCCTTGTATTCTTTATCCCAGAAAGATCTTTTCAAAGTATAAATCCCATCAAGTCATACACCACTTTTAAAACTGCTTTCTCACTGCAATTAAAATCCAAATTCCCGGGATGCCTGGGTGGCTCAGTTGGTTTAGCGGCTGCCTTCAGCTCAGGTCATGATCCCAGGGTACTGGGATTGAGTCCCGCATCGGGCTCCTTGCTCAGCGGGGGAGTCTGCCTCTCCCTCTGCTCCTCCCCCTCTGCTCAAGCTCACTCTCTCTCTCGGACAAATAAATAAAATCTTGAAAAAAAAAAAAAAATCCAAATGCCTTACCACAGAAACATTCACTCTCACTTCATTCCAGCCACTCCTGCCTTCCTTTCTGTTCCTCACAAGCTCTTTCGTACCTTAGAAGCTTTGTACTACCTATTTGTTGGATGCTATTCCCTGAGACTTTCAAGTAGCTGGTTGCTGCTGGTCTGAGTTTAAATATCAATTCCTCAAAGAGACCTTCCCTAACCATCTGGTGTAATGTCACCCTCTTATCACATCATCTCATTTTTATAGCTAAAATCTATCAGATATTGTGTTACTTATATATTTATTTACTGGCTGATTCTTCCACAAGTATGCAAGCTTTGTGACAGCAAGACTCCGTATGTCTTGTTAGATATTTCAAGCACCTAGAATAGTGTCTGGGACATAGGAAGCATTTAACAAATGTTTGCTGAATAAACGAATTTGTTCAGATTTCATTTTTACCTTTCAGTAATATAAGATTCTCTCTGTACCTTTATTAAATTTATTCCTTAATATTTTATAATTTGTGTCACTATCACTAAGGAATATTTTTCCATTTCCACTCTACCAGGTTATTTCCATGACAAAGAAAACCTACTGATTATTTTATGTTTATATTGTAACTTGTCATCTTACAAATTCTTTTTTTTTAACAAATTCTCTTATTAATCCCAACAGTTTTCTTACTAAAGTTGTATAGATATACAATCATATCGTCAAAGAAATTTTATTATTTCTTCAATATTTACATTATTTCATTTTCTTATTGCATGTTTAAATCTCCCAAAACAATGTACGACATTACTGGTGAACACCTCTGTAATACTCCTAATTCTAAACATATTGCTTGAGTAATTCACTGTTTAGAATGATGTTTGTTATTTTTTTTAGTAAAAAGTCTTCATCAATTTCCTTTACTAGTTTAAGAGGGTTTTTTAAATGAAAAACATGCCTTTTTCAGCATCCATGTTTTTTCTGCTTCAAATTGTTAATATAATAAATTATGTTAACAGATTTCATGATATTAAACCATTCTTATACTCCTGAAATAAATCCTGTATAGTCATGGCATATAACCTTTTGATACACTAATATATTCTACTTGTTTATATTTCATTTAGACTTTTGCATTTACGTAAGTAAGACTGGTCTTATACTTGGATTTTTTTTTTAATTTTTGTTTTTATTTTTTATTTAAATAATAAAGATAATAATCACTAAAGTTTAATGCCTTGGCAAATTTAAGAATACAGGGGCTCCTGGCTGGCTCAGTCAATAGAACATGACTCTTGTACTTGGGGTCATGAGTTCAAGCCCCACGTTGGGCATACAGCTTACTTGAAAAAAAAAAAAAAAAAAAGAATACAATTTAAAATGAAAGGATAAAAAACACTTATAAAAAGAGCTTCAATTTTTCCACTAGAATAAATTCCCTTTTATCCCTAGAGTCCTAGGACAGGAGGTATGCTGCCTAATGACTAAGTCAAGTTAATTAGAAACTTTTTGGTAACTGTAAGGAACTGTTCGTGTATGCTGTTAACATTACTAGACATCTCACAGAGTAATAACATTTAGGGAGTTTACAAGAGAGCTCTTCAAACACAGGGAGGGATCTTCTAGCCAAGCTGTGGAAACAACCTAAATGTCTATCAACAGATAAAAAAAAGTCGGTATACACATACAATGGAATCTTATTCAGCCTTAAAAAAGAGAATTCTCCGTTTGCAATAACATGGATGGACCTAGAGGACATTTTGCTAAGTGAAAGAAAACAGACACAGTAAGACAAATGCTAATCTCCGTTATGTAGAATCTAAAATAGTCAAACTCATAGGAGCAGAGGTTAAAATGGTGGTTACCAGAGGCTGGGGAGAGAGAAATGAAGAGATTTTGGTCAAGGGATACAAAATTTCAGTTATATAAAATGAGTAAGTTCTGGTGATCTAATGTATATAGCATGGTGACTATAGGTAACACTACTATACTATATACCTAAAATTTGCTAAGAAGGTATGCCCCAAGTGTTCTCACCACACACACAATAAAGGTAACTACGTGAGGTAACAGGTTGGTAATCACTTCACAATTAATACATATATCAAATTATCAAGTAGTACATTGTATTTTTTTTTTTTTTTAAGATTTTATTTGTCAGAGGGCGACTGGGTGGCTCAGTCGTTAAGCGTCTGCCTTCGGCTCAGGTCATGATCCCAGGGTTCTGGGATTGAATCCTGCATGGGGCTCCCTGCTCAGTGGGGAGCCTGCTTCTCCCTCTCCCACTCCCCCTGCTTGTGTTCCCTCTCTCACTGTGTCTCTCTCTGTCAAATAAATAAATAAAATCTTTAAAAAAAAAAAAAGATTTTATTTGTCAGAGAAAAAGAGAGCACAAGCAGGGCGAGTGGCAGGCAGAGAGAGAAGCAGGCTCCCCACTGAGCAAGGAGCCCTATGCAGGACTCGATCCCAAGACCCTGGGATCATGAATGAGCCAAAGGCAGATGCTTAACCAACTGAGCCACCCAGGCATCCCAAGTTGTATTTATACATAGAATAAAAAATAAAAATTTAAAAACCCAGGGAGCTCTTTTTTCCTTGTAGGAGATTATTTTTTTTATTACCTGTCAGTTGGTCCTCAGAACCTTTTTAATTTAAGTATAATTGACATACAATGTTACATTAGTTTCAGGTATACAACATAATGATTCAACAACTCTGTATGTCATGCTATGCTCACAAGTATATCTACCATCTGTTACCACCAATACTATTTTTTAAGATTTTATTTATTTATTTGAGAGAGAGAGAATGAGATAGAGAGAGCATGAGAGGGGGGAGGGTCAGAGGGAGAAGCAGACTCCCTGCTGAGCAGGGAGCCCGATGTGGGACTCAATCCCAGGACTCCAGGATCATAACCTGAGCCTAAGGCAGTCGCTTAACCAACTGAGCTGAGCCACCCAGGCGCCCCACCAATACTATCATAATACCACTGACTATATTCCTTATGCTATACCTTTCAGTCATGAAACTTATTCATTCCATACCAGAAACCTGTATCTCCCATTACTCTTCACTCATTTTTTGCCCATCACCCTACCCTCCTCTCCTCTGGCAACCACCAGTTTGTTCTCTGTTATTTTGTTTTTTAGATTCCACATAAGTGAAATCATATTGTGTTTGTCTTTCTCTAACTTATTTCACTTAGCATAATACCCTCTATGTCCACCCATGTTGTTGCAAATAGCAAGATCTATATATACACACACACACAAACACACACACACACCTTCTTTATACACGCATTTATCAATAGACACTTGGGTCACTTGCATATCTTGGCTATTATAAATAATGCTGCATAAACATAGGGATGCATACATCTTTTCAAATTAGTGTTTTCTTTTTCTCTGGATAAATACCCAGTAGTGGAATCACTGAATCGAATGTTATTTCTAATGTTAATTTTCTGAGGAACCTCCATACAATTTTCCACAGTGGCTGCACCAATTTACATTCCTACTAATAAGAGGGTCCCTTTTACTCCACATCCTCGCCAACACCTGTTATTTCTTATCTTTTTGGTAATAGCCATTCTGACTCGGTGTAAGGTGCTATCTCATTGTGGTTATTTTTTTAATTTTTTTTAATATTTTATTTATTTATTTGAGAGAGAGAGAGAGACAGCAAGAGAGGGAACACAAGCAGGGGGAATGGGAGAGGAAGAAGCAGGCTTCCCGCTGAGCAGGGAGCCTGATGCGGGGCTCAATCCCAGGACGCTGAGATCATGACCTGAGCTGAAGGCAGACGCTTAACCATCTGAGCCACCCAGGCACCCGGAGCACTCTTTTCTAAGAGCCACTTTAGGAAAGAAAGTTTATAGACCACATTTTTTTTTCCCAAGTGAAAATAACTTATTTGAGGGCGCCTGGGTGGCTCAATGGGCTGAGCCACATTGGGCTCCCAGCTCAGCGGGGGGCCTACTTCTCCCTCTGACCCTCTCCCCTCTCATGCTGTTTCTCACTCTTTAAAAAAAAAAAAGAACTTATTTGAATATCATTTACATTCTTCTAACACAGTCTACTTACTTGAATTAAAAAATATGAGAAAACTGACACTATTTTATGATTACTAGAAAATTAGGGCATAATTAAGAAATACCATCCAAGGGGCAACTGTTTATTCTTTCATCCATTATGAAACCAATAACCTTCCCAGAGTTGATACACTGAGTTTCCTGAATGACAGCTGTATTTCATGTACCAGCCTCATCCCACACTCTGAGAAACTTTGAGTTTTTGCACCAGTTCTTATTCCTGTTGACTTACTGTTGTTTAAATAGTCTCAGTTGCCAATTAAAAAAAGTGTCTAGCATTTTAGAGTTCAAAGTACATTCTCATGCAATATCTCATATCACCTTTGACATAATCTCTCCAGATGGAAAAACTAAGGCTCAAGTGAAATGTCTTGCTCAAAAATCACATAAATACTTATAAAAACTAGAGTTGGAACTGGTTTATTCCATCTCACAGCACTAAATTTCTATAGTATGCTAGGCACAAGGGATAATGAAATAAACAAGGAGAGGTACTCACTCTCCCTCAGTCTGGTTCAGTGCTCCCAGTCACTTCCAAGGGTTAAAAATCCCCTTTCTGAAGAAACTGGGCCATGCATGTATTCAATAAATACTTATTAAATGCATACTAAGTGCTGGCATAGTTAAATAAGCAGCACTGGGACCATCAGTGAAGAAATAAAACAGTTTTCCTCACTAAGTTCACAATTTTCATGGAAGAAAATTAAGAAAAATAAATATATGTATGTCAAATGCTATGAAAAAAATAAAGCAGGGTAAAAGCAGGGAGAATGATGAAGGCAATGTTATTTTATATAAGGTGATTAAGGGAACTCTGACAAGGTGAAATTTGAGCACAAACTTGAAGGAAGTAAAAAAGTGACCATGCTGGAAATGTGGGATAAGAACATTCTAGGTGAAGGGAACAGCAAACGCAAAGGCCTTGAGTTGAAACAGCACCAACCTTAGGATTTCTGACTGTTACTTACTTTTCAAGCTGTTCCTTACTCAACCAACCAGGTTGGGTCTGCCCCAACCCTGAGTTCAATCCTCTTATCAGAGTCCAAACAAAAAATTCCAAAAAGAATTCTCTAGCAGTTTTTGCTCTCATTTATCATTCCACCACTATCCCCTTAATCCATCTTCTTTGTACAAGACTGAAAATTTGCTCATCACTAATATAACAAGACATGAATACTACACTAATTAAAAACATACACAGAAAAGCTATACTCTCTCTAGTCATTTGGACTGATAACGGTAATTACTTTATTACTCCTCCTTACCTCCATACCAAAGAAATGACTATAAAGGGAACCAGAGCCTTTAATAATTCTAATTTAGGAAACAACTGATTCTCAGCAGTTACCCAGTCAGAAAGTGCTGTAGGTTATCAATAATTTAAAGGAAAGAGAATAATGTTCTAAGGCAGAGATGGGAAAAAAAGATGCTAACAAAAAAACCTTGTAAACCCATGCATTAACTTATATCTTATAATTTTAACTCACATTAAGAGTGAAAACTTGAGCCTCATTTACTATGTGAAAGAGAATATTTCTGTACTACATAAAAGGAGAATAACAAATCAATTACTCTATGTCTGTGAGACTGTTTTATTTTCACGTCCATAATCAGAACCTGCCACATCACTTTCCATCTAGCACGGATAACCACTTTATCCCCAATATTAAGATTTATGTTACATGTTAGTGCAGGAAAAAGCCTGAGTTACTTCAAGACAGATACTTTTTTCTTCTGCTTCACTTACCTTAGCCCAGTAGCGAAAGGCTAACACCAAGGGAGTAAAGACAGGTTCCAACTTGCCAAGAGCAGCAAGTAAATCAGTAGTGAGGCATGCCATATCATTTCCTGCACTCACTCTACAAAGCAAACCACTGTGAATGAGGAAGAAACAAATTTCACTGTATTAATACCTTAAAAACCAGAATATTCCAAATCCTATGGCTATACTTTCTAGTCACCATAATTTTTTTTGCATTTTTTATTATTATGTTCAATTAGCCAGCATTATAGTACACCATTAGTTTTTTATGTAGTGTTCAATGATGCATTAGTTGAGTACAGCACGCAGTGTTCATCACCACACGTGCCCTGCTTAATACCCATCACCTGGTTACCCCATCCCCCACCGTCTCCCTTCTGTAACCCTCAGTTTGGTTCTTGCAGTCCAGAGTCTCTCATGGTTTTCTTAGTCACCATATTTTAATACCTAGGAAGTCATAATAAAAATAAGAATTTCAATAAACTGAGAGCTAGCTGAAAACTAAAAATCATTTCCATCACTAAAGTTCCATATAAAGATGTTTTAAATATTCATTTGTACTTCACAAATAAATTTCAACCTTATTTAGTATTTAAATTCATCAGAAATTACAAAATTAGTTTTACATCAAAGACATTGATTTTATCAATGTCAAGTGGTGCAACATATCTTCCCAGTTTATTCTTTTTGCTTTGCACAGGATAAAAAGAAAAAAATGAAATGCTGAACTGACTAGCTACACTTCTTGACCCTAATTTTTCCTATCCAACTTTTCATGATTTTATTGCTACTTTCAGATTAGAAAGGATGTATGTATTAACCCGCAGGTAATGCTTATGTGTAAATGAAAATAGGAGCTACCTTAAAGGGGTGACAGAATTATAGCAGAGATATTTTGGTGGCAGGGAGAAGAATGTATCTGAGGTTCCACAAACAGGCAATTTGACACAATGTGGTTACAAAACAAAAAAACAAAAAACACTAGAAGTTAGAAGTCAGAATACTTCCATTCCCATTTTACTCTAAATGATGTGAATTTGGTCAAATCATTTAATTTCTCCAGGTCTCAATTTTCTAATTAGAAAACAACAAAGTTGAATTAGATCTCCATAGATCCTTTTAACTTTGAATAAGAAAATACAGTACTCTTAAAATTTAAGATATATAGGTTACTTTTCAATAAAAGAACCTTTAATTATTTCTGTATTGCTTCCATGTCTCCCACATTGATCTCAAATAGGATTATTTGTTTCCTTTTTCACAGGCACATTGCTGAGTCCTATAGACATCTGACTAGAAAGGCAAGATTAGTCTTCAGTGACTCTTTTTCAGTGAACTAAAAACTAGATTCTAAAAAACTGTGAGCTCCTTGAGAAGAATGGCTATTTCTTATTTATGTTTGTATCCCTACAGCAAAGTAGTACCTAACATACAGTAAATGTTCAATACTGTTGGGTGAATGAACTTGAGGAAAAAAATGAAAAGTTTTGCCTTACTGTGTTTTGTTTTTAACTGGTAATTCTATTTCTTGTTCACATACTTTTAGTAAGCTTTTATTTTTAATAACTAGAAACTAGCTTAGTTATATTAATCCAAAGAGAAATCTAAAACAAAATTTTCTGTCTTGGAAACGTTCACTGCATACTTGGTTATTGTTGTTATTTCGAAAAATATTTTCTATTCATTGTTACCAACCTTTTCCGATCTTTGCACACCACAACAGGAACTTTGGCGTGAAAATCAGATTCCACATCTATATATAATACTAATAAAGAAAAAAATAAACCAAGTAAGATAATATCAACAACTCTCAAATATTTACTCTAGGATAAAGATTAAGCAATAGTATCCTTCTAAAAATCACTCGCATTGCTTCTGTGATAACACACACTTCTCATTATGAGCATCAACCCAACAGAATCTCTTACCTCTCTTGGTATCATTTGCTGTATATCACAAACCACAGGCATAGTTCAAAATATTGTCCAAAAATTATAATCACCTTAAGAAAGGACTTAACATGTCTAAAAGTTTGAATATTTCCTAATAAGTATATAATCTAGTCAGTTATTAAACCTTCAAAAAAATATGGCAAACAACAAACACCACTTACTTCTATTTCCGAAGAAGTCATGAAATGAGAACCTACAATTCTCTGACAATTTAATTCTTTTAAATCATCCATGCAAGTAAAAGGCTAACTCTGCTGGCCCCATTTCCTATTAATATATGAAGAGTCTGCCAAATCAAAGCTCTTAAGGAAGAAGATTTGGTAAAGCACACTTCCACTCTGAAGTCTTTCTCTACATCTCCCAGGTAGGCCCCATGTCATAAATATTTAGTCTAATGAAAATAGATGTTTTAATACTATTTCATTTGAGGTTTAAAGAATCTCTCTTAGTAGTACTTGTTGGAATTATTAATTTATTAAAAAATCATGTGCTGGAAATCTATATGCCAGGAATTGCATTATGTGTGGTAGATATGACAATGAATAAGACACAAAGAGCTCAATTATGGGTTTGGAATAAAAATACAGAAACAAATCAATCCTGTAGATGACAAGATAGAAGTCTTAAAGGAGTACAATGAAGGCATAAAGGTGGCTGAATAGTATTCCATTGTGTGTGTGTGTGTATATATGTACACACACACACACACATATATATATACAACTTCTTTATCCATTCATCTGTCGATGGACATCTTAAAGAGCGCACATGATGTAATGAGCACTGGGTATGATATGAGACTGATGAATCACTGAACTCTACCTCTGAAACTAAAAATACACCGTATGTTAATTAATTGAATTTAAATTAAAAAATAAACTAAAAAAATTTTTTTTAAAGGGGCTAATAATTTTTTAATCAAAATGTATTTTGTAGGGCGCCTGGGTGGCTCAGTTGGTTAAGCGACTGCCTTCGGCTCAGGTCATGATCCTGGAGTCCCTGGATGGAGTCCCTGGATCGAGTCCCGCATCGGGCTCCCTGCTTGGCAGGGAGTCTGCTTCTCCCTCTGACCCTCTCCCCTCTCATGTGCTTGCTCTCTGTCTCTCATTCTCTCTCTCTCAAATAAATAAATAAAATCTTTAAAAAAAAAAAAAAAAAGTTTTTTGTAAGCCTATGTTATGTGACTTAAGATGATCTAGTCATGTATTTAAAATACATTTGCAGGATGCCTGGGTAGGTCAGTCAGTTAAACATCTGCCTTCGGCTCAGGTCATGATCCCAGAGTCCTGGGATCCAGTCCCGCATCCAGCTCCTTGCTCAGCAGGGAGCCTGTTTCTCCCTCTGCCTGCCACTCCCCGTTTGTGCTCTCTCTCAATCTCTCTCTCTGACAAATAAATAAAATCTTTAAAAAATAAATAAAATACGTTTGCTAGGTTGATACTGTCCACTGATTCTAAAGAAGTAAAAGCTCTATGTCCACCTCTTATCTGTAATATGCTTTAGAGTTTTTTGCAATCAGAAACAAATATTAAGAAAAAAATGATACTAAAATCCCTTTACAAGATTAACTGGACCAAATTATTCCCTTAAAAACTTAGGAAAATGGCCAACAAGAAGCTGACAAATAATCAAAAACTGACATGGAAGAGAGAGAGAAAGGAAGTTCAGAACTGACTATGAAGTCAATGACAGGGTAAGGCTAAGGTCAGTAAGCTATCTCTTCTAAGCCAAACTGCAAATATTTTTGCCAGGTACTTATGATTCATAAAATTTAAGATGACAATAATAATAACAATCACACAGCAAGACTTTAATAAGAAGTTACTATAAACTAAGCACTTCTAAACTGTGGCTTAGCCCATTTCATTCTCACAATAATCTTCTCATCAAAAGATAATAAAAAATATATATACATATATAGCCATTTTACAGATGAGAATACTGAAACATTAACACTTAAATAATTTGTCAAAGGATATAACCAATAAGTGGCAGAACTAAAATTTGAGCCCAGAAAATCTGGCTCCAGATCCTGAGCTCTTAAGCATTTACTTTTAACAAGAAAAGCAGTAAATAAAAAAACAAGAAAATGATATTCCATATTGTACTACATGACCTAGGGCCTGGTTTAACACAGCTGGAATTTTAAAAAATTTTATTTTAAGATGTATTTTTACCTATATGAATGTCCATTTTACACCAGAAGCAATCCAGACAAGGCAGATATGAAAAACATTTAATAGGTATGATTTGGTTGATGTAATATAAATGATTAGTTTAATATTAAGTGGAAAAAAAATAATGCATGCCCCCATTTTTCCCCACATCTCTCCCTAAATCATCCTTAATCAAACAACCTCCTAATGATTACAGGTTTTCTGTCTTTTACACAAGGAATGCCCATAATATTCAAAGCTAACATTTTTAAAATTACCCAAAAGGCAGTACTTTTTTACATATCAACTTTAAATATACTTTTGATCTAATGACATATAAATTTTGTAGCACACCTACTATTCAACAAATACATAAGTATATGTATTATAATGACCCAAATATGCTATGAGCGTTAGTTTAACTTGGTTAGCCATATATAAACAACACATTGCATGTACCCTTAAAGAATTTTCTTTAGAAAGACAAATTAAAAAAGAAACTCACCACTTTTTTTTAAAATCCCAAGCACTTGTATCAGTAGATCTGGATGATTCATCTAAAAGATTTCAAATTAAATCAATATACTACTTTCATAGTTCAAGTTGCGTATTTTAGAGAGAATTCAATTTCATTAAATATTTAAATAAAATCATGCTCTGTATCTTAAAATAATGAAAAAAATAGTTTTACTTTTAACAAATCTTGTTCATAGAAGTAGAATCTAATAAATAATGTAGTGCTATTATTCCAGCAATATTCCTAGAATTAATAAATTCTTAGTATGAGAAAAGATTCTGGAATTTCACAGCAAAACAAATGGGAAAAAAATCAGTTTACCAAAAAACTGTTAAAGAGAAGTTGTTGAGATAGGAAATTTAAGAGGTACTGATACTGGCAGTATGGTCAAAAAGCTTAGATTAAATACTACTTTAACAAGCTTGTCAAAGCTTAGTTTAATATGTACTTCACTATTTTAAAGTATTTAATAATCATATGCTAATTGTAAGTAAATGATTATATCAAATGAGAAATAAAACATCAAACTTTCACCTAAATTGAACCGCTTTGAGCATTAAAATTATTTTAAAAAATCAATAATACATGTAAATCGATCATTTTAAATGTTTCATAGGTCAATAAATAAGTAATGTTAGCAATGTTAGTTACTACTTATTTAAAAAGTACCCACAATGTACCAGACACACTACCCAAAAATGCCTGGTATACAGCATCTCATGTAATATAAAGTTATTATCCCTGTTTTGGAAATTAAAAAACTGAGTCTCAGAAAGGTCAAGTAACTTCCTCGTTGCAGCCACGATTTGAACACAGATGTATGATTTCAAAGCTCTTTACACTTTCTATACTGCCTACTACAAGCAGTAACTATTCAACATAATCAAATATGTATAAGCATTTTCCTTTGTTTTTTACTGCATTCCTCTGCTTTCTTCTTCCTCTCCCTTATTTCTTTACTCCACCTATGTCTAACACCTAATAGTTTCCAAAAGCAACCTTTAATTACGATAGTAACACTCTACAAACCAGAGTTTTATAGTCCCCTACATCTTCTCTAAAAAGATAATCAATTAAAAAAATACCAAGTACTAGGTTAAGAATCACATAGAAAAAGGTTTTTCTAATTACTTACCCTGGGAGGAAATTTTATATCTATATTAACATCACTATTTTTCAGAGCAAACTTAGTCAGAGATGAGCCATACAACCTAAGTGAACACTCTGGAAATAAAGGAAAAAATATCAAAGCATGAAACAGAGTGCAAATAGGGGAAAATTAAAAAAACAATGGTAGAAAAATGCATATATTTTAATTGTGTCTTCCAATTCTAGTTATAACATTTATAGAAGAATGACATCCTTTCTAACCTATCTAACAAAATAATAAAAATGTTTCTCAATTATGGGGTTCAGGGACAAAGGAAGAAATTACTTATAAAAGTCCAGTGTTTAAACAAAATTTTAGAATAGTTCATTTAGGAATGACTAGAAGTATGTTTAACATTTAATCTGTAACAGTAAAGAATGCACTAACCTAGGTACAGCTATTGTCATAAACTACATTTATTTATTTTTAGATATTTATATTTATGTAAGAGAGAGCACTAAAATGGTGAATGGATCACAGACATTCAATGCCAATGCTCTTTAAAAATACAAAGAGAAGCCTAGTCACCTGAACAAAGAAACAAAATCCTGTGGCTTTGAAGGGTTCACAAAACAAAATATATAGGAATAGTAAGATACAACCTACATCTTTTTCAGACTATTAAATATGTTATTTCAAAAGTCATAATAAGGCAAATTTTAAAAGGATCTCACCAGAGGGCAAGTTGAAAAATAACATGATTGGAACTACTCAGGCAGGCCAGGTGCAGTTTCTTAGAAAATGTGAGCTCATACTCATTCATATATATAAAAGTCTACTTTTCAAGCTCACAAAATGTCTAAAAGTCACTGAAGTCATTCAGATTATAAAAATTTCATTTCTATTCTTAAAATAGTAAATTATTTCTTTTTTTTAAAGCATCTTTTTTTTTTAAGTTATTTAAGTAATCTCTACACCCCATGTGCGGCTCTAATCCACAACCTGAAGATCCAAGAGTCACACGTCCTTCCAACTGAGCCAGCCAGGTGCCCAATAGTAAATTATTTCTGTATACAATTTATATTAGTATTCAATGTTTTTTCATAGAAAACTGCATTATTACAGAAGTAATAAAGAGAAATCAAATTGTTTTCCATTTTTAAATTTCAATTTTACATTCTTATAAATCTCACAATGGCTCTATATAAAACTATAATTTGTCAACTGTTCAATACCCTTTGGTGGTGAGAAATAAGTCTTATTTAATAGACATAAATTAAATACTGATGCAAAAAAAATAGCAGGAGCTAAACAAATATAATCTTTATATAAATGTCTACAATAAACCTGGCACAACTCGTGCTTACACCAAAAACATAAGCTTTCTGTAAAGAAAGAGCAGAATCAAAAAGAAATAAAAGTGCAGATTTTACTTCTAATGACCCCACTTAAACAAATTAATTTTTCCCCAACATCAGGCCAACAGGAATCTTATTAAGTGACTGGCTGGAATGTATATACTGAAAATAATATAACTAAAATGTCCACTCAGAAGTCAAAGATACTGAAAATATAATATTAAATATATGACCTTTAAGAAATTTTCCTGTATCTGACATTTTAAAAATTTTCTTATTACAAAAATTATGCTATGTCATAACTCATTTTCCTTTCCTGAAATATTTCCCCCAAAAAATCACTTTTAAAATAATTAAATTCATCTGCTTTTAAGATAGAGAAACAGAAATGAAAACATTAAGAAATTTACACTAAGTTCAACAGGAAGCAAGGGGAAGAGCTGTACTATTTTAAATATTAAGCATAAAGTATATTTTTACCTGGTAAAAATGTTGTTATCACCTTTGACATTTCCTCAACAATTTCCTGACGGACTCTGAGGTCATCATCTGTTATTCCATGTTCTTTTGCTAATTCAATAACTGCAACACTTAAAGCAGCCAGGTGGGCAGGGGTAGGAGGTGGCAGAGAACGAAGCTCACTTTCTTCCTGTTTTTCCTATTAGTGTAACATTTAACAACAACGTAAAAATTTTTTTCTATTTTAATGTTCTTACATTTAGGATAGAAAGACTATACAAATGTATTAACTCAACAAATATTCACCTTCTATGTGCCTGATTCAAGACACCTAGGATATGGAAGTGAACAAGACAAAAATCCCTTCCTTTGTGAGTAAGTATTGGAAGATTGAGGGGTCCTTTGGGGCAGGTTCCTATTAAACATTAAGAAAATAAAATTTGGGGCGCCTGGGTGGCTCAGATGGTTAAGCGTCTGCCTTCGGCTCAGGTCATGATCCCAGGGTCCTGGGATCGAGTCCCGCATCAGGCTCCCTGCTCCTTGGGAGTCTGCTTCTCTCTCTCTCTATCATGAATAAATAAATAAAAATCTAAAAAAAAAAAAAAGAAAAGAAAATTTGTTCTACTTTACTGTCTGCATAAATTCTGAAATGCTACATCAAAGCCAAAATATTTTAAGTACAGCACTTAGCTGATAATTTTGTGGATAATTTTGTTATAGCAAAGAGATTGTTTTAGATGTAGCAGAAAGTCTTGAATCCTCTCTGATCTGCGTTTTAAATGGTCACAGGAAAACATCCTAGACACCATCATCACATTTGTTATACTGCCTACCATTTACAATTGATTTCTGTCATTTTATCCAATGCTAAGCCAAATGTTCCTCAAAACCCTTGATTCTACTAAAAGTTTGAAACCCAATTTAAACCCAAATCTAAAGAGGGACGAACTATATTATATATACACAATGATTTTTTTTTAAAGATTTTATTTATTTGACAGAGAGAGACAAAGCAAGAGAGGGAACACAAGCAGGGGGAGGGGGAGAGGGAGAAGTAGGCTTCCCCGTGGAGCAGGGAGCCCGATGCGGGGCTCGATCCCAGAACCCTGGGATCATGACCTGAGCCGAAGGCAGACGCTTAACGGCTGAGCCACCCAGGCGCCCCACACAATGATTTTTAAAGATTAATTTTTTTATTCTGATTTTTAAAAAAATACATGCTAATTGCAAAAGCTACATAAAACACAGAAAATACAAAGAAAATCATCCATGATCTAACATCATACTATTTCCTTTACTTTTTTTTTTTTAAGATTTTATTTATTCATTTGAGAGAGAGTGAGCAAGAGAGGGGTAAGGGCAGAGGGAGAAACAGACTCCCCGGAGCCTGAGGTGGGACTCAGTCCCAGGACCCTGAGATCATAACCTGAGCCAAAATCAAAAGTCAGACACTTAACCAACTGAGCCATTCAGGAGCCCCTTCCTTTATTTTTTTTACCATAACTGAGACCATACCATTTCTTTAATGTTTTAATAATGGCATTTTCTATCCCCACATTTCAGTCAAGAGACATTCTCTTATTTTTTGAGACATGTAGCTCCCAACAGATCTAAAAATCAAAAGTAGTTTATTCTCTTTTCTCTACCCCCCACAATATAGTTAAACAAAGACTTTGGTCTATTTCTAATTTTATTCATTGTTACCATATTCAGTCTCAACATAAAGTTTACCTATATCTTAGGTAACATAGGGGGTAAGACAACCTCATTTTTATAAGTTTCTGTGAATATTTCTGCAATCTTAATTATAATCTAAATCTTAGGTGAGTGTCTAAAGTTTTCAGGTATATTTTTTTAGGATTCATCCAAGGTATTAATAGCTACACACTTAATTAAAAATTAAAAAAATTATATAAGATTAACAAGCAACACAACTATTTTATATATGTAGAACTACCAAAAAATTCTCTGAACTATATTGCTAGATTGTTATGGAAATAAAAAGATAAAAAACAATAAATGAACATAGTCCTCTACCTACATTAATAAGCCTATCCTACTTCCTTCTTTTTTTTTTTTTTTTTTAAGCCTATCCTACTTCCTTTAGAATACTGTTCCATCTAACAATCTCACTGATATCCTCCTATCATTGATCATCCTCATACATCCTATCGTAAGTATGACAGAGATAATAGACAACAGATAAATAAATGCATACTATCAGGTCAGGTAAAGCTATGAAGAAAATCAAACAGGGTAAGACTACAGACTGATGGGCAAGGGTTATTATTTTAGAATACAGTGGACAAAGAAGGCCCCTCTAAACAAGTAATGTTTAGCAGAAACCTAAAAATGAAAGAGAGAGACATTTAAATTTCTGGGGGAAGAGCATTCCAGATACAGAGAACAGTAAATGCAGAGACTTGGAGGCAAGAAAGTACCTAATGTTATTTGAAGAGATCAGTGTGGCTAAAGGGTTAACAAAGGGGTGATTGGAAGATGATGAGGTTGAAAAGTTAACTAGAAGCCAAATATCGTATGACCTTATGAAACTTGATAAGGACTTACATTTTATTCTAAGTTGGGAAGCCAAAGAAGGGCTATGAGCAGAAAGTAACATGATATGACATATTTTAAAAGAGCAATCCTGGCTGATAAATGAAGAATAATAGACTGTATGGGGGCAGGAAGGAGGGCTAAGTTGGAAGTAGTCCAGGTGAAAGACGGTGGTAGCATAGACTAAAACAGAAAGAGTAGGAGTGCTTGGTTGGCTCAGTCAGTAGAGCATGCAACTCGGACCTCAAGGTCATAAGTTTGAGCCCCACACTGGGCGTAAAGATTACAAAAAAAAAAAAAAAAAAAAAAAAACAGAAAGAGCCGAGTGTATGACAAATGACTAAATTTGGAATACACAATGTTTTTGTTTGTTTGTTTGTTTTTAAGATTTTATTTATTTATTTGACAGAGAAAGACACAGCAAGAGAGGGAACACAAGTAGGGGGAGTGGGAGTGGGAGAGGGAGAAGCAGGCTTCCCGCCGATCAGGGAGCCCAATGCGGGGCTCAATCCCAGGATCCTGGGATCATGACCTGAGCCGAAGGCAGACACTTAACAACTGAGCCACCCAGGCGCCCCGGAATACACAATGTTTTGAAGGTAAATTCTATAGAATTTATTAATAGTTTGAATGTGGGGTGTAAATGAGAGAGATAAATCAAAGGTGCTTGTCCTAGACAACTGAGTAAATAAATGGTGGTGCCTTCTGCTGAGATGAGGTAAGTTCTGGAAAGTTCTGGAAAGAATCAGTTTAGGCTAGGAAAACGTGCCCAAGAAGCAAGAGTCTCCTAATGAGTCTCCTATTTCCAGCCTTTCGTCCTTTTTCCTATTCCCCTTACTTCCACCAGTTAGTCTCCTACTTTAAAACTTTCAATGAATCCTCAACAGAATACCAGCAAACCAAATTCGGCAAAATATTAAATAGATTATACACCATGACAAGTACAATTTATTCCTGGAATGCAAGAATGGTTCAACATACAATAATCAATCAATGTAATCACCTTAACAAAATGAGAGAAAAAAAATGACTTGATTATCTTGATCAATGCATAAAAAGTATTCAACAAAATTTAACACCCTTTTGTGGTAAAAAAACAAAACAAAACAAAAAACAAACAAACAAAAACACTCACCAACTAGGAATAAAAAGAAACTACCTCCAGATAATAAAGACCTATTTGAAAAACCCACAGCTAACATTATACTCAGTGGTTAAAGGCTGAAAGCTTTTTCTCTAAGATCAGTAAAACAAGTCAAGAATGCCCATTTTCACCACTTCTATTCAACATATTAGAAGTGTTAGCCAGAAAAAGAAATAAAAGGCAATTAACCTGGACAGGAAGAAATAAAATTATCTCTATTCACAGATAATAATCTAGCATGTAAAAAAACCCTGAAGATGCAAAAAAACTGTTAGAACTAATGAACAAATTCAGTAAAGTAGCAGGATACACATCAACAAACAAAAATCAGTTGCATTTCTATACACTAACAACAAACAATCTGAAAAGGAAATTAAGAAAATTCCATTTAGAATAGCCCCCAAAAGAATAAAATACTTAGAAATTAACTTAATCAAAGAGATGAATGACTTGTACACTGAAAACAGAACACTGCTTAAAGAAATGAAAGAAGACATGAATAAACAGAAAGACATCCCATGTTCATGGATTGGCAGGCTTAATATTGTTAAGATGTCAATACTACTCAAAGGAATCCACAGGTTCAAAGCAATCCCATCAAAATCCCTTTAATTTTTTTGCAGAAATAGGAAAACTGATCCTAAAATTCACATGGAACCTCAAGGAACCCAAAATAACCAAAACAATCTTGAAAAAGAACAGTTAGAAATTCACATTTCCTGATTTTGAAATTTACTATGCAGAGCCACAGTAATCAAGACAGTATGGTACTAGCATAAAGACAGATGTATAGGCCAACAGAATAAAACACATAACCAAGAAACAGACACTCATATATATGGTCAAATGATTTTTAATAAGGGTGTCAAAACCATTCAATGGCAAATGGGCTGTCTTTTCAACAAATGGTGCTAGGAAAACTGGATAACCATATGCAAAATGGACCCTTATCTTACACCAAATATAAAAATTAACTCAAAATGGATCAAAGACCTAAATGTAAGAGAAGAATTATAAAACTCTTAGAAGAAAACAGAAGAGAAAATCATTGGCAATGACTTCTTGGGTACGAAACAAAAAAAAACCACAGACAACAAAAGAAAAATCACACAAATTGGAATTTATGAAAATTAAACTTCTGGGTGGCTCCTGGGTGGCTCAGGTGGTTAAGCATCCAACTCTTGATTTCGGCTCAGATCATGATCTCAGGGTCATGGGATCGAGCCCCACATCAAGCTCCAAGCTCAGCTCAGAGTCTGCTTGAGATTCTCTCTCCCTCTTTCCCTTCCCCTACTCATGCTTGCTCGTGCTGTCTCACTAATAATAAATAAAATCTTAAAAAAAATTAGACTCCCATGCATCAAACAACACTACTAACAGAGTAAAAAGGCAACCCACAGAATAGGAGAAAATATTTGCAAATCGCATACAGGATAAGGGATTAGTATCCAGAACATAAAAAAAACTCCTCTAAAACTGTGAACAAGAAAACCCAATTCAAAAGTGGTCAAAGGACTTGAAAAGACATTTCTCCAAATACAAATGGGCAGTTAAGTACATGAAAAGGTACTCAACCTCACTAATCACTGGGAAAATGCAAATCAAAAGGACAATGAGATACCAATTCACATTAAGATAACTATTATCAAAACAAAAGAAAAATGCAAGAGTTTTATAAATGTGGAGAAACTGAACCCTTGTGCATTGCTAGTGGGAATGTAAAACGATGTAGCCACTGTGGAAAATAGCATGGCAATTCCTCAAAAAATTTAACATATATTTACCATTTGGTCCAGCAATTCCACTTCTGGGTCTATACACAAAAGAAATGAAAGCAGAAAATCGAACAAGTATTTCCTCTACCAATGTTGATACCAACATCATCACAATACCCAAAAAGTAGAAACAACCTAAATATGAATGGATGGATGGATGAATGGATACACAAAACTTTGTATATACATAAAATGAGCTATTATTCAACATTAAAAGGAAGGGAATTCTGATACATACTATAATATGGTTGAACTCTTGATCTTAGTTCAGGTCTTGATCTCAGGGTCGTGAGTTCAAGCCCCATGTTGGACTCCACACTCAGAGTGGAGCCTAGTTAAAAAAAAAAAGCTTTTTCAGCATCTACTGAAATTATTTTTTGGTTTGTTAATATGATAAATTACAGTGATTGGTTTTCTAAACCAACACTGCCCTCCTGGAATAAAGCCCCACTTGATCATAATGTATTTCTTCCTTAATTTTATTGTTAGATTCAATTTGCTAAAATAATGTATAGAATTTTTGCATTAAAATTCATGAGAAATATAGCCTGAAGTTTTCCTTTATTGTATTGTCTTTTTCTGGTTTTGGTGTCAGAGTAATGTGGGACTCATGGACTGAAATTAGGAAGCATTCCTCCTCTTCAGTGTCCTGGAAGATGTGTAGAACTGGTACATATTATCAAGTATCCCAGAGATCAAAAGTAACCTTTTCTTTCTTTTTTTTTTTTTCCAAGTTCTTTTTTTCTTTCCGTCTCATTTTGGATGGTTTCCATTGCTATATGTTCAAGTTCACTAACCTTTTCTTTTGTAAGGTCTGATCTACCATTAGTCCTACTCAGTGTATTTTTCATTTTAGACACTGTAGTTTTCATGCCTGTAAGTTCAGTTTTAATCTTTTTTATAACTTCCATGTCTCTATTTGATTTTTGGAATATCAGGAATATAGTTAACTGCCTTGATGTCCTCCTCTGCTAATTCTCTTGTGTCAGTTCAAGGTAGTTTTGATTGGCTGATTTTTCTCCTCATCGTGGTATGTTTTTTCCTGCTTTGTTGTATGCCTTATAATCTTTGAATGCCAGACAATGTGAACCTTTTTGTGGTGATAGATATTTTGTATTTCTATAAATACCCTCACAAGCTTTGTTCTGTAACATTAAACCCTGAAAACTGTCCTTTTGGGTCTTGCCTTTACAATTCTTTAGTTGGGGGTAGCCTGGGTGGCTCAATCAGTTAAGCTTCTGCCTTTGGCTCAGGTCATGATCTCAGGGTCCTGGTATTGGGCCCTACGTCAGGTTCCCTGCTCAGCAGGGAGTCTGCTTCTCCCACTCCCTCTGTCCCTCTCCCCCTCCCCATTCATGCTCTCTCTCTCTCTCTCTCCCCCTCTCAAATAAAATCCTTTTAAAAAATCTTTAGCTGGGATCAGACTGCATTTAGTTTCTATATATTCCCCACTCTTAAAACAAGATCCTTCTGGGTACTCTATCCAATGCCCATGAAGTATGAGTTTTCCAGTCTGAATAGTGGTAAAGTACTATTCTCAGCCGTATGTAAGCATCAAGCACTATTCTAATTCCTTAGATGATTCTCTCCCTGGCTTCAGGCAGCTTCCTCGCATGCATGTACCAATCAGTACTGTGCTAAATACTCTGAGGGGGCTGTCTTTATATCTATGGATTTCTTTCTGTATAGCTTTCTCTTTTTTGTTATTCTGTCCTACAAACTCTAGCCACCCTGGATTCCCTGGAATCAAGTTCATCTCCTCAACTCTGGGAGTGCACTGGTCTCCCCTTCCTATAATGCAGTATGGAAACTCTCTCAAACTAGAGTAATCATTGGGCTAATCTCATTTGATTTCCATTCGCTGCCTGAAAACCATTGTTAGCTATTTTTATCCTTTTTTTTTCCTTTGGTTTACTCAAGAGTAAGGGTAAATCTAGTCCTTATTATTACAACTTCAACAAAAGCAGAAATCTAATACAGCTGCTTTTAAGTTTTTTTGTTAGTTTTTTTGTAATGTCCTAAAATTTCCTTAAAATGTATATAATGTCTTTGGTTTTCTTTGTAAGTTTCCTGTTTGGAATTCCCTGAGCTTCCTGGAATTAATGATTAGCATCATTCAAAATTTCTTGAAATATCTCAGTTATTATCTCATAAACTACCAACTCTATCTTTGTTCTATTAAATATTCTGAAGTTCTAATTAAATCGAAATAACATGCTGACAAAATTTTAATTTCTCTTCCGAGTTCCTGATTTTCTTCAATGCATTCATTTTTTTCAAATAAGACATATTGAGCACCTACTGTGTGTCAGACACTGTCCTAACCAATACAGAAACAAAAATAAGTAAGAAATAAAACCTGCCCTCTAGAATACTGAAGTCTAGAAGAGGAGAGAAAGCAGAAATGCACAATACAATATATCCAGTTTTCTGATCAAGCAGCTCTGCAAGCACAGAGAAGGAATACCTAATCCAGACTTGTTGGGAAGGTCTGGTAAAAGAATATTTCTCAGAGAAAATGCAGACACTTAGACATAAGCAGAAGATTATATAGTATTACTATTACCACTGTGAAGGGTGCCTAGGTGGCACACTCGGTTGAGCATCCGACTCTCGGTTTTGGCTCAGGTTGTGATCTTGGGGTTGTGGGATAGACCTCTGCACTCAGCACGGAGTCTGCTTGGGATTCTCTCTCCCTCTCCCTCTGCCCCTCCCACTTGTGCTCTCTCTCTAAAATAAATAAACACATCTTTAAAATATATATATATTACCACTTTGGAAAAGAAAAACTTAAATAGCTAAAATAGTAATAATTTTTTAAAAACACATTATTCAGGGGCGCCTGGGTGGCTCAGTCATTAAGCATCTGCCTTCGGCTCAGGTCATGATCCCAGGGTCCTGGGATCGAGCCCCGCATCAGGCTCCCTGCTCCATGGGAAACCTGCTTCTCCCTCTCGTACTCCCCCTGCTTGTGTTCCCTCTCTCGCTGTGTCTCTCTGTCAAATAAATAAATAAAATCTTTTTAAAAAATTATTCATATCTATGTCTATGAAATGTTCTAATAAAAATAACTGAAAAATTATGAATTCCCAAAGTCTAGATTATAAGGCCCTGCATGGTCTGGACTTCTATAGCTTTATCTCACATCATTTTCCTCCTATCTCTCTTTGCCCCAGTCATAATAGACTCTTTCTGTTCCTCATATGCCATGTCATCATTCACCTTTTTGCCTTTTTTTTTTTTTTTTTAAAGATCCACCTATTCATTTTGAGAGAGCACACAAGCACAAGTGGGGTGAGGGACAGGGGGAGAAACTTTCAAGCAGATTCCCTGCTGAGCTCAGAACTGACTCGCACTCAGTTACATGACCCATAAGATCATGACCTAAGCCGAAACCAAGAGCCAGATGTTCAATTGACTGAGCCACTCAGGCACCTTTTTGCCTTAATTTTAAACTACTACTTCAAAGTTCAGCTCAAATGTCACTTTCTCAGAGAAATGTCCTTGTTGCAGATTAAGTAAAATATCCTTGTACACTTCCTTAGCACCACATTTCTCCCTTTAATAAAACTCAATATACTTAAATTCTTTTTCAGTGTATGCCTTCACCAATACTTTAGAAACTCTGAGGGTAGGAACCACAACTATCTTATTCACCACTGACTAGATCTAGCACATAAAAACTCAATAAATACCAGTTGGACTAATTGTATTTAACAGTTTCTTTTTTTTAATTAAGATTTTATTTTTAAGTAATCTCTACACCCAACATGGGGCTTGAACTTACAATCCAGAGATCAAGAATCACATGTTCTACCAACTGAGCCGGCCAGGCACCCCTGACAGTTTTAAATTTAAGAATCAACATACTTTAATATGAACAGACTGGTCTCTGAAAAAGTTCCCCTCCTGACCACCTAAGATAAGAAAGGCAATCACAGCTTTTAATGCTATCACTTCAGTTACTAATGTAAGACAGGACAAATAACCCATTTTTGTTTCATAAATAAATATTTCATATAGTTTTACCATTCGAAAAATAAAATATTTTGTAAAAAGAACTCACCAAAATATTTTTCTTATGTCGTTTCTCCTTTATATGTTTATGAGCTCCCTGGATGTTTTCAATGTGAATTAAGCAAAGTTTGCATAGATATCGGCAATTGGTATATTCTGGTGAGCGCTGAAAAGTTAAAAAAATGCATTTTTTCAGAAAACAGAGAAGTAAATATATGACTATATGTGAATGATATAATTACATAAATATAAGAAACAAAAACAAGCATTAAAGGAATAAATTTTTAATAAACAATCAGTACTTACATCCCCAAAAGATAATTGTCCTTTTCAAAATAGACATCACAGAAGATCATATACTCATTTCAAACACCACCATTATAATGTTAAATGTTTGGTACTTATCTAATATAATACAGTCCTTAGAATCCAATGTAGGATAAGAAAGGCAGTCTTATGACTTAGTCTTATTCCAATGCTCTCCCCAAAACCGGTTTCAAACTTTGTCTTTTTGATTACTATAAAAAATAAAATCCACCCTCAAACAGATTTTAAAAGAATATGAGTTGAGAATATGGAAGAAAATTCCAAAAGCTGAGTTCTGAAAACATACTCAATCACAATCTCATGGGAATAAATGGATAATCTCTTGAAGTAACTATTATAAAGGAAACAATTCTGACACACAAGAATTATCATAGTACTTTAGTCATACTTTATAAATCTGTTCTCGAGTGCTCGCTTCGGCAGCACATATACTATAAATCTGTTCTTGAAATAATAAAAAAAAAAAAAACCTTACTATTTCCAAAGTGCCTGTTAGGTGCTAGGCACTATGTTAGGTGCTTCATATACAATGTCATTTTAATACCTCTAATAATCCAATTAGATTGCTATTATTTTCATTCTCTAGATGTGAAAACAAAAGCTCATACAGCCTGTAACTTTCACAAAGATATAATATTAAGTAGGAGATGCTGAATTTAAATTCATGTATATCTGAATCCAAAGCCAACTCTACCCATATGATTACACAATGAAAAATTACAGAAACACAATAAATACACACTGAATTTTCAAACATGATTTCTAGTGCATTATACTGCAATTTCTGAAATTACAGCAATGCTTAAATTTTTATTTCAGATTGATCTTCAATAGCCTGCAACTCTTGACAAAAAGATTCTCTAACTTCATAATACTATGATTTTCTTTAAATGGAAACATGCCCCAAATTTAGCAACAGTCCTACCACAGACTAAAAATAAATATAGCCATTATTTATAAAGTATGTATAACCTTACAACCTATAATGATTCCCTATTTTACTGGCAAAGCAACTAAATCTCAAAAATTAAATAATTGTCCAAAACAACAAGCAAAAAGGAAAATTCAGTTCAATCCAGTCATTTCAATTTGTAGTATAAAAATTCTTTCACCATTTGCAATGACGTGGATGGAGCTAGAGAATATTACGCTAAGCGAAAGAGGTCAAAGACAAATATCGTATGATATCACTCATATGCGGAACTTAAGAAACAAAACAAATAAGAGAAAGAGGCAAACTAAGAAGCCAAATTTATCAAGAGAACAAACTGACTGTTACCAGAAGATAGGTGGGTGAGGGGCTGGGTTAAATAGGTGATGGGGATCAAGGAGTACACTTGTGATAAGCACCTGGTGGTATATGGAAGTGCTGAATGGTTCTATGGTACACCTGAAACTAATATTACACTGTATATTAAACTAACTGGAATTTAAATAAAAACTTAAAAAACAAAAAACCATAAAAAACTCTTTCAAATCTGTCCTTATTGGGGAATGAATTTAAGCCCTTGCAGAGACTCCTACCTCTTAGTTTCCAACCACAACTAGTACTTAATTCCCTAAATATTTTCTGAGCTCATAACGTATGTCAAACATTTGTCTAGAAGTAGGGATATATAGCATAAACAAAACAAACCAAAGTCTGTCCTCACAATCTACTTCTAGTATACAGAGACATGTAATAAATAAAGAAATGCACAAATAAATACGAATAGGGTGCAGGGGTGTTAACTACTTTTTAAAAAAGGATCATCACTTAAGACCTTACTGATAAAATAATTTAAAGGAAGTAAAGGATTAAGCTAAGTGGGTATTTGGGAAGAGACATTCCAAGTAGAAGGAAATGTTAATGCTAAGGCCCTGAGGCAGGAATATGCTAATATGTCTGAGAAACTGCAAAAAGTCTAATATATGACTGGCACTGAGTGGTAAAGAGGGCCAGGTCGCAGGGCCCCTTAAAAGAACTCTGGTTTTTATTCCAAGTGTGAGGGGAAGACACTAAAGGTTTTTGAGCAGAGAATTAAGTTTTAATCTATATTTTAAAAGGATTGCTTGCCTTCCTAATTCCTTTAAGAATAGAAGCAGAAAGAGCTTATTGCCATTATGAGCATACTGCAATGATCTAGAAAAGAGATGATGTTGGCCTGGTTCAAGAAGAGTGGTGAAAGTAGCAAGGTTCGGATTCAGGAGTTGAAAACATAAATACACAACACCTAAAGCTATGAATATTGATGAGGTCGCTAAAGGAGTCAAGAAATCATTCATCATATAAGTTTTTCAATTGTAAAATATTAGCAGACAAGGACTGTCTAGATTCTTTCTGTAAGAAAAGTTTGTTTTAACATGAATGGGGAGTGAGAAGGCTTGAGATGACATCTCAATTGACCTTGGATTAAATCTCTAACACTGAAAACTGCTTCTATAACCTTAAAATGAAATAATAAAAATTGCTCTACCTGGTAAAATAATTCAATTCTACAAGTAGCTGATCTTTACCACTTAATATACACCAGACACTATGCAAAAACTTTTACTTGTATTATTGTATTTAATCCTCATAACAGTCAATGAGCTAGGTGTTATTTTTATCAACTCAATTATAATGATGAAGAAACTGAGGTTTAAAGAGTTATTAAATAACTTATCTAATGTTATCCAACCAGTAAGTGGCAGAGGTAGACCCAGTGACTCCAAAACCTACACACTTAACCACTAAGCAAACTACCTCTAATTATTAACCAACTACTACGTGCAAGGTACTATATTAAGCACAATAGCAAATAGGACAAAAATGTTCTCATGACATCATAAAGCTTCTAGTTTCACAGAAGAGACACATGAAAAGTGTTTTAAAATTCCTTCATTATATAGTTGTATTTTATTTTACTATTAAAACACACACACTAATAAACCTTCTTTAAAGTTTCTGCAAACCAGCCAGAATAAAGATTGCTGGGCACAGAAATTCTAAGTATTTCCTAGTCAATATTTAACACTAACTATAGGGAAATTTACCCTTCTGATCTAATAGCTTGGATTCAGTCCTTCTTTGGTACAGTTTAAAAATCTACATCTTTACTCATCAGTCAGATAATCTATGGGTACACTGTGAACCCAAGGACTGATAAAATCAAAAGCAAGTAGTTAAGAATATTCTTAATGAATGTCTAATAAGTTGGTAAAGAAAAATGTTAATTAAGAGTACACTAAACTGAAAATAAGAGGTTTTGGAGGACATAAGAAACAAAGAAGTGCCAGAAAGAAAAGAGATTATAGACATCTATGCTAGTACTGGCACACTCATTTTATATCGTTGCTGCTTAAATTCAAATAAATTCAAACAGCAAAATGTTTTCCATGCTTCTAAAGCTTTTCTTTAACCCCTGGCCATTCTTTCCTACCACCATCAAATATCCGTTCCACCCTAATTTCTTTCTTCTCCCAAGAACTGATCTTTCCTGCTTCATATCCTATCCCATCCTGTCCCCTTATTTTTTTAAAACACATTTTTTCACATTTCCTTTATACATGCCATATAATTCACCTGTACCAGACTTCCCCAATTCACCTAGTCAACTCCTACAGCTACTCCTTCAGACTCAGTTCCAATGTCACCTCCTTATAAAGCATTCTCCAAATTGATGCCTCTATAACCCCACTCAAGTTGGTCACTCTTTTGTCTAAAATTTCAAACAATACTGTTATTATTACTGTTGTTTGCTTACATGCTTTTCTCTAATTAGTAAACTCCTAGAAAAGCAGTAACATGTTTTTAAAGATGCCACACATGCCCCAATTCAACTTCTTATCACCAGATCATGGCACACGAAAAGCATTCAATATTTATCTTAACAGATCCAGAATAGCTACTAATTCCAGACTTAGGGAAGAGAAAGGGAGGAAAGTGAAAACTAAGTAAGAGAGCAAATTGCAAAAAAGACTTTCTTCTAACTAGAACCTTGGGAGGCTAGCTACACAACCTAAATTCTCTCTACCTCTTGATATTCCTTTCTATTTTAATAGGGTGACTACTCTGTCGTAAGTTCTATTAATAACTCAGGATTGCCTCTTAAATTTAGATATTACCTCATTTTTCTAAACTCTACAAAATTATACCATTTCTTTCTTTCCTTTCTTATTTATCAAGAATGATGACCTATATTTCCTTGTATACATGCTCACAAATATCCCAAGTATCTATTTGTAAACAGATTGATTTATGAGTCATTCCTTCAATATCTAGCAATGTTTTTATTAAGGCTAGGAATGTGTATTTCTAGGTTAAGAATTTAATTAGCACACAGGAATAAGATATTAATGGCTAAAACAATTCTTAATACATAGGAAATACTCAGTAAATATGGGAGACAGAAGAGGAAAGGGTAGGAGAAAACCAAGGAGAAAAGGAGAAAGTGTAGTATATCACATAATATTTGCTAATTTGTCACTCCGAATGGACTTCTAATTCACCAACTGCCATTTTCATCAATATATCCCAGTGCCAATCATAGTACCTAGAACATAACAGGCACTCAGTATCTATTGATGAGTGAATAAATCAGAGGTCAGCAAACTTCTGTAAAGGGACAAAGTAATATTTGGGTAAATATCTTATGCTTTGGTGGTAAACAGTAAATATTTTATGCTTTGCAAGCTATAATGTTCTCTGGAGCAACTAATTACTCAATTCAACTCTGCCATGGTAGCATAAAAGCAGCCACAGACAATAGGTAAACAAATGGGCATGGCTATATACCGATACAATTTTGCTTACAAAACAAGGGGCTAGGTTTATTTTACACAATTTTAAAAACACAAAGCACACATACAAAAGGCAAAAACAAGACGGTAGACCATAGTTTCTTGACCCTGGAATGAATGAACAAAGTCAGACTCACAGATGTAAGGATTTGCTGAACAAAGGGAGAGAAGAAAGGAAAGAGGGAAATTAGGAAAAATGAATGCTATCTCTGCCTTAGCAATAAAAGAAGATAAAAAGAGCTGTGCTTGGCAAAGAAAAGTTATGACACATGCATCTTCCTCCACATAACTAAAATGACATAGTATACTTTTTCAAGTCGAAAGATGTGATCTCTTTCTAAGCGTTCTTCTGCTTGTTTCAAGCCTAGCCTCTGCTCAGGTGTCAATGCAGATTCATCTATCACAGTAGCATTTTCTAAATAGTCCATCTCTGAAGAATTTTCTTTATTAGAGTCATCATTCTTCATTTTACCTAGAAAAGGAAGCAATCAGTTACCATCAGCAGAACTGATAAATTAAAAAAAAATTTTAATGGAAAACAGACATCAATCTATACACATACAGGAAAAATATTCTTTCCTTATACTTTCCTTAGTTGTACAAGTTGGTATACTTATTTAAAATACAAGTAAGAGATATACACGGTATCAGAATTCACAAAGAAAAATCTATTTCATGGGTCAAATGCCTATCTTGTTCTTCCAACCTATCAAGAGATAAATATGACTGAGACTCACCACACGAGGCTAACACAACATAACCATCTTGTAAAATCTCTGAACTATGAAATGTGATAAAAAGCTATTTTAAGTCCCAAAGATTAGTCACTAAAGTCACTTTAATGACTTCATCACTATACACGAGCAGCTAAAAGAACATATATCCTCTAGACCACAAGCTCCTCCCTCTTTGCTTTCATTGAACTCATGGATATCCCTACCACATCAATATTTTTTCTTTGCTTCTCTGCCTCCTAACTGGATTTCAATCTTTTCAAGGCACAGACTGTGTGCTATCATCTTTTCATTTCCAGCACCTAGCATTATACACCTGGCATACAGTAGGTTCCACTATCAGTGTGATTTTTTAAAATACAAATTCAATCAAATTATTCTCTTGCTTAAAATACCTAAAGGCTTTCAAAGAGTTCAGGATAAAGTTTAAACTCTCTAGCATAATACATGCCATCCTTGCCTTCATGAAGGCAGTAAACAGAATAATAATTCCAAGTTATAATAAGTGCTGTAAAGGAAAAAAGCAAGTAACTCAGAAGGAGACTAACTTTAGATATGGGAGTCAGGGAAGACTTCTCTCAGATTTTAAATCAAGACCTTAAGAAAGAGAGCTAAGGTGTCTGTATCTCTAACCTTATATCCTACCTTAACACTTTTCACTTCATTCATACCAAATGTGCTAGATAGAATGGATCATTGCTACTTCAAGTCTCAATGCCTTTTTTTTTCATTTTTTTTATGATGTTATGTTAATCACCATACATTACATCATTAGTTTTTGATGTAGTGTTCCATGATTCATTATTTGCGTATAACACCCAGTGCTCCATGCAGAA